AGTTGCCATTCACCATTTTCCAAATAAGTGCTCCCACCTATCGGAACATCTACACATGTGGTGCGTGAGTGGGTTCAGGACTGAGACGCTAGAAAATGAAGCGCTCACAAGGCTTGTCTGGCCCTTCCAACCATGCGGGTACATTCATCGCAAATCCCAGATTTTTAGACAAAATGATTTAGAATAAGCAAATCTTGTCTACGCCCGAGGTAGAACATTGAATTGTGATTCCCCTATATTGTGCCAACCATCCTTCAACCTGCGGTACCACCTGCAAATGAACTATGTTGTGCTGCGGCACGCGTCCATGCTGCCTGCTTGAGAAGAAAACCACTGCTCGTGTTGAAGAAGACATCCCACAATGTACAGGCAACAATGTTTAACGAACTAAAACAAAATTGATATCATTCAATAGACACAGATAGGCTTACAAAGTGTCGATACCATGATTGTTGTTGTTGGTTTTACTCCTGCATACAAACATAAGTGACTTCCTCTTTCCTCCGATGTACAGTAAAACCCCCTTATCTTCGTGTCCCCTATTTCTTCTCGAATCGGTCACAGAGGACATAATCGCAGCCACTGAATTCTGCAAAATTAAAGGCCGCGAAAATTAAAGGTTCGCCAACATTAAAGAGTTTACTGTTCTTCCGTGTGTCACATAATGTTAACATTTCAAGGAGGCTGAAGGTATTGGTTTAAGGAAAAATTGACCTATGAAAAAAAATGCCCTTCTCCAGGTCAGGCACGCGAGGTTCTTTTGCACTACCTATAAGGCGGCAAGTTTGTTTCGGCAGAGCTTTTGGTTAAACGGAGTCACAAAAGTAGCTATACTTAGAGTCAACCATTTTGTGCTGCATTATAAAGCTAGAGTAAATTCCACTGTGCTTCTGCACAGCACTGTTTGTTGCGAGAGCATATGTGGTTTAGTGTTGCATCCCATTTGCATGATCTAGAGAAACTAGCGCTGACAGAGTTGGAGCACCCAAAAAAAAACAAAAAAAACAGCCGACTGTGGAAACAGTGAGAGATGCACACATGCGAACTGTGCATTTCTTAAAAGTGGATTCGAGCAAAGGTAAAAAAAATATCTATACTTACGGCGGCCATACTTGCCTTTCCCAAGCACGACCACTTTTCCCTCGGTAGCACCATCCAGTAAGCACCAGCAACACGCCCATGAGACGCCGCCGACTCATGGATTGAATGACGACCCGCCTGAGGTCTTGGAAGGAGATCCGGAACACTGCTTTAGGCCAGATGTTGTATCTGGAGGGGGCAGGGACTAAAAGTAAAAATTAACAAATTTATCTGAAGCGCCACATTCCTATAGCATAAACTCTAGGATAGCAGTATTTTTTTTTTAGGTCAGTGATGCATTTTAATTAAACGCAAATGGTTGGTTTATAAATTTATATGATGAACCAGCAGCCCCTAATTTCCTTAAGTGTAACGGAGTGTCTAACGTCACGTCCGACGGAACCCGAAATAAAAATTAAAGTTACGCCCAACGTAACTGTCAAGCATTCGAGTTGCGTCCGACGTAACCCAAAATAATAATTAAAGTTACCGTATTTACTCGAAAATAGGTCGAACCCTATTTATTGGATCCACCAAAAAAAAAATTCAAATATAGACGACCTTTTTATTTTTTTTATTTTTAAGAACAGGGGACATTTTGGGTAAAAGAAACAAACCTTTGTTTACATCACTCTCAGCTAAATCACGGGGCGATGCCAAAAACTTCATCACCGTCAGAACTTCTGGACATGTTATCATCGTCCCAAGCTTCGTCAGTTGGGTAGACATCCTCGCAAATTCGCAGCAATACTTCACTGACACCGTTGTAAAATGACGACAAGAAACGAAAAAAGGTGCGAAGCGACGGAAGACAAACTACAAAGACGCAAGCAAAGCCGCCGTGTCGCCACGAGCAACACGCGAACCGAGCCGCCTCAAGCAACTAACAAAAATAACTTTTTTTGTGTGTGTGTGCGCGTTTGCGAGGATGGAGGGCAAAGTGCATGGCGCATCGCGTTCCTCTCCTTACCCGTTGCCCAGCAAGGGGAACGCTAGAGGCGCGATGTCGAAATCCGACGCCCGACCGGCCACCGCGAGCGGCGAGCCATTTCGGCAACCAAAAGCTTTTTGAAACAAGAAGCGGCGCGGCTCTACGGCAACGCCGGCTCGGTGACTCGATAGCCTCATGCCTCCGGTAGGGTCGCAAAATTTGGTCGCGATTGTAGGTGTCGAAATTCTTTAGTCACAATTCCCGAAAAAAAAAAGAAGAAGAAAAAAAAAAAAAAAAAAAAGGTCGATTTATATTGAATAAACACGGCAGTCAGCCGCGCGACGAGACACACATTATGAAAGCGATTGGTGCGAGCGACCGAGGCATTGAGCGACGTTTTCTAGAAGCCCAAGAACCGAGCGGCGCAAGCAGCGAGTGTGAGAAATCTTCGGCGCTCGGCGCCGGCTCTCGTAGCTTCTCGCCGTCGCTCGTGGGTCCATATCAGAAGAGCGAATGACATTTTAGCGAAAGGCGACATTTGAGCGAATGGTCGTTTTAGCGAATAACGGGGGCCCGCGTTAACCCATCCGTCGCGCTGCGCTTTACGCCGCTTCGCGGCGACAGTCTACGGCAACTCGTTACAAAAATATGAACTGACTTGGACCACCCGAAAACGCCGCTTCGCGGCGTCTGACTTTTCGCTAAAGTGTCGTTCGATGAAACGTGGGCGTTCGCTAAAACATCATTCGATCAAGTGAGTGCCTCCCGTTTTCAAGCATGGCTCCTCGTTCATTGCTCGATTTACATTTTCGGCAAATGACCGCAATGAAGCACAATTATTCTAGTTCAAAATTGTCACGAACACTTGGCACGCATGCTTATACTGTAGCGCACCTAACGTAATTTAAAAGTAGAACGGAAACAGGACGAGATTCGCTTACCGCTTCACGGATCCTAGGCCTTCGGATCCTAGGCCTAACGGCCGTACTTGGAAGTCGCCTGCGGTCCGGCGATCGGACGAGTCGAGCCGGCCTGACGCAGGCTGACCACGCCTGGTTGAACTATGAGAGGCGCCGTCCAGTTGAGAGCCAGAGACGCAGTAGAAACGGACCGCAAAACATCTGTCCCGTAACCGTAAACGAGTCAACGACCCCCACCACCGCTCTATCTTCGCCATCTCCGCGACGACCGGAAGTGGAAGCCGCGAAGTTAGAAAAGCCGCGGCAGCGGAAGCCACTGGGCGGAAGCTTTGAGTTTCGGTTTCGCTTTTCTCCAACGCAGGCTACGGTCGCTACGGTTTCGGGCTGGTGGGTTTGTCGGGTTTGTGGCTGGTTGCGACGACGCGAGGGGCCACGAAAAGACGCCAAGTTGGCCGAGTACGAGTCACGGCCCACGATACGAGCAACGGGCCGTTTGCCGCTGTCGACCGTTGATGAGGTATCCGCGGCTTGGTGTCACGATCGGTTTGTTGCCGTGCACGTTGACTCAAAGCTCGAAGTTATGCAGTTCCGTTCCGGCACCAGCCGCACCACGTTTTCCGGTGCATCGCACGTGGAGGCCTTTCGACGCATTCAGTGAACGTAAAGATCGTGCCCGCTGTCTTCGGTGCTGTGGAAGAAGTTGGGAGACGGAAGGCGTTTAGGACTCCAGGCCGGCCCGCCGGTTCACTCTGAACGAGAGGCGACGTGTGTGTGCACGCTTTGAGGAAGCCTCCGCGTTTCGCCGCGCTAGACCTCGCCGATCGCGACCAGACCAACCGGACCCCGAGTCCGAGAGGCTCTTGCGGAGCCAGGAACTGCACCGAGGTAGGAGCTGCTCGTTCTGCGCTACCATGCAGTGCTCTACAGTGCTCGGAGCTCTCGGTGTCATTCGTGCTTGCACCGAAGCCTTTGTGACCCCTTCGGACGCGCAAGTCGTACTTCGCAAACGTTTGGACGGGGCCGCCCTCACCGAGCAGCTCCGCTATATTCCGCTTACTTATGATCGCAATAAAAGCTTGCGTTCTCGGGAAAAAAATTTCGGGACCGCTCTCCGCGCCGCCGACGAGGTTGGCCGCCGCCATGTTCTCAGCTGTTCACTCGCTCCCGCAGCGAGCGCCTTCCGATAATCCCCGTTCCAAAATGCGATGCGCTTTGCGCATTATGCCGTTACATGACCGCATATTGAATGCGGCAACTGGATTCAATGCGACTAAGTCGCATTCGTGTAAACGTGGCTTATGTTCTTTTTCGACATGTATGGTGTATGTAACGATAGCGGTGGTGAACGATGGACGTTTTTTTTGGAAGATGGCGGTCGTCTTTCTGCATGTATGATTTGGTTATATCGGTGGTCCTGTGGTATAAGCGTTTGTTGGAAAGACGGCAGTCGCCTACGTCATCGGACGCAAAATCATACCAGCCACACCGAATCATATCGGCAAGCAAAGTGGCTGCCAGTATAGACAGACCCGGAGCCATAGCGGTGCCAGTATCTCCAGTTATGCAGAACGACAAACCAAACTAGCTGCATGCGTAACACAAAGGAATTATGGTGGTGTCATACTAGAACTGTACAAGCAGCAGGTTTGTTACTTGTACGTTTTTCCAATAGGGAAGGATCACTTCCAATTCGTTAATTAACGATTTTTGAATAATTAGCCGACTGATCATTACGATTAGCCCCTTGCACTATGTCCCCCTGACCGTATGACTCACCTGAGCAGACCGCATTAATCTAGCTTTCATGGTTATTTTTCGAAAATTCTGTTAAGCTGAAAAAAAAACGCCTTGTATATATATATATATATATATATATTTATGAATATATTTAATAGCAAAAATCAAAATATCCGCGCCGAGAAGGTTGTTCAATTTCAAATGAAACCACCCTGGTAATAATTGCAAAACAGTAGGCCTCCATCTTTCCAAACACCTTGGACCCATATCTCTTGTCGCATTGCACGTTGCCGGTAAGACAAACAAGTTAACAAGCTCTTCTCCATCAACAGGGTGACTGCGACAGCGGGACCTGTGGTGTACGGTGCACCCAAGAGCTCAGCAATGCGACCAAACGTGGTCTATACTCAGTGGGTCCACAATGGGCAAGCGTTTTCGTCCGAGACGACCACCGTTGCAAGATCGACCGAGCACAAGAAGACAGCCACCTGGCACGTTGAAGGTGGTTTCAGTTATTCCGGCTCCGTGACAGCCAGTGCCAGTTTATTTATTGTGGACATTAAGACCACGCACCAAATAAGCTTAGACTTGAAAGGGGGATACCGTAAAGAAGTCTCTGATACGGACATATTCTCGGTAAATCATGTCGTCACCGTGCCTCCCATGAAGTCCGTCAAGATTGACTGGATCATCACAGATTCCGTGCAGGTATGTTACGCCCGGATGAATTTCGTTGTTGAAATGGCCATCACAGGCATCATGATTTTCTTGAGCGATGGAGTTGATTTCGAAGTTCGGGTATGTTGACCTAGGTGGTATATCAATGAGCCTAATACCCGTGCCACACGAGCAACTCGAATGCCTTTTACAACGAATGACATTTGTGTGATATAAGGAATCGGCTCGCGATCTGTCACGCGTGGAACGCCGTACGCTAGGACGCGCTGATTGGCCGATCGTTCAAATGTCATTCGTTGTAAATGGCATTCTAGTTGCCCGTGTGGCACGCGTATAACCACTCATTCACACTGGAAGCGGATCCACGTTTGCAAAGCGGTTGCGAACGCAGGTGTATAAAGATCCAGTACAATTGCACGCGCACCTGATATCATCCAGTGCGCGTGCAATTGTACTGGATCTTTATACAACCACGTTCGCAACCGCTTTGCGAACGCGGATCCGCTTCCAGTGTGACTGAGCGGTAAGTGAACCGGAGGTTTTTAGGACGAGAGAGATTGTTTTATTTCTTTGTTTTAAGTAATAGCACAGTGAATGGCTGTGGCCGAACATACAGACTAAAAATTCAAGGTCACGACGTATTCACTTCGCTTCAATATTGTAGCCGATGGTAAAACACATAAATAAATTACTAACGCAGTGACCTTGTGTTTTTGGAGCTGTTCGTTCATATTCCGTTTCACAATAAGCCCGACCGGAGCCAATGCTAGAATCCCACCGGAGCCAATCCAGCAGTTCTAAAAGTGCATGGACATGGAGCTTGTTGCATTTGTGAGCAACTACTAATTCACCGTGCGTGACTGTTTGACTAAATGATTATTCGAATGAATGGCCAATCGTGAATGTCATTTGACGTCAATGGTACATTTTTCGTGGCTCACGGCTTTATTCTCCAACTTACGAGGAGCGCAAGTTCGTCTGCTTCTTTTGTCGGGGTTGTGGTGACGTCAGAACGCCGAGCTCTGATTGGTTCTGAATGAAAGATGGTGTGTAGACCTCAAGGCAGCTTACTTTGAATTCTGCGCACTATTGTTCAATAAAAGCCGATCAGAGCTCGGCGTCTTTCTCACGTCACCGGAACTCCTACGCAGAAAGCAGACGACTTGCTCTCCGCATTATTGCTGCAAAGTTGTTGTTTTTTTTACTTCCTGGAATAAGTAGAAAAAAAAAAACATTGATATTGCAATGCCTTTAGATTGTTGGCCGTCTATAAGTCAAAAGATTATTTCTGGCGATTAGTGAATTAACTTTTTGTGTTGGTATTCTTTTTTCACACAGGAAGTTCCTTGGACGTCTACCGTGACCTTAACCGGATATATCCATATGAAGTGGAAGGAAGAACTCAAACTTCTCTACCACTACTATTATTGCACTCTCGGCTCTCTACGAGATTCCCGTCTTAAGCACGCAGGAAACAGCACGTTCCTATACACTTCTAAAGGAACGTTTACGGGAGTCAAGGGACACGAGGCTCATCTTCGCATCAAAGAGTACGATTATCGGCCGTACGGAGGAAGGTCTTCGCCGGTCAGGGCATACACCATCCCTTTGAGCCTGACACCGCATACGCCTGCGGCGAAGACTTTGTGATACTTGAAATCTTCTACATCGGAGGAAAATAAATATCCTAATGTTGGATTTTTTTTATATTGTAGTGTCAATGTAGAGAGTGACCTCTTTGTGTTCATTGAGGGAAAAGACAAGTATAAAATTATTTTCATACACTCACGTCTGATTTGATAAAAAAAAAAAGATAAATCATGAGGGTAAAAGTTTTTTCGTTTTAATTTCTCACTAATTCAAAACTTCCGGGGAAATTTCGTTGAAACTATATGTAGAGAATCAGTGAGTTAATCGTAGTCGCAATCAGAATCTTCATTGGCTCAAGAGAGCCGTGGCACCGCGGAAAGGCCCGTACCACAGTCGCCCGAGGTGCCACGTAAAGTGACGATGGTTATGAGATGATATATACAAGGGGAGGACGACGCGGTCTTCTCAGCATCGCAAGTGTCTTTGCATGAAGGTTAGGGGTTCGCCAAGACATTTTTACCAGAGTTGAGAAGTGTCTTGGCAAGGGGTGTGTCCGGAGGCTTCACCGTGCGTTGGGGCGAGGAAAGCCCTGGCCGTTTGATGGTGACGAGGACGACGTGCTCTTCTGATCCGCCGCACGAGTCTTGGAAGTTAGGCGGCGGTCCAGGCCAGTACGTCAGCGAGCCAAGGTGACCTTCGCCAGGCTGTTCAATGAACGTACTAGATTGTAAAGCCCTGGCGGTTGATGGTGCGCTCGCTCGCTTCGTTGAAGGCAGCGGCTCCAGGTGGTGGCCCTGTCGAAGTAGACGGCTGCCACTCCCCGATGCATTGACGTCCAGGGCTAGAAGGTAGCGCCGTGGTGATCCGGTGTAGCTTCCTCGAATCGTCGTCGTCGTCGTCCCTTAATATAAATAAAATGCTTAACAGAACAAACATTACGCGGACTTTGCTTCGTGATAAAAAATTCGCTTATTCGACAGCAGGTAGGGCAAAAGGGTGGTTCTCATTAGAACTCGTTCGCATTTATACCTTTCCCTTTCCTTATACTTTTTCCCTTTCTCACTTAAACCGTTCTGAAAACAAACTTTCGGGTTTTGACCCTTCTCAAAACGACTTTTTCCATTTTAATCTTTCTGCTTTCAAATTTTCTCAAAACATACTTTCTGGTATTGACCATTCTCAGAAAGACTTCTCTCATTTTAACCTTTCTCGTTTCAAAATTACAAAAAAACATACTTTCTGGTTTTGACCATTCTCAAAACTACTTTTTTTAATTTAACCGTGTACTTGATCAGGCTAGGGAAAAGCAATAATTTTAGCATACACTCACGAGAAACCTAAATAAAGGAACCAATGTCATTATGAAGACCAGGCACCTGAAGATTTATTACGCCTTGAAATGCTTCTTGCAGAATGACTTCTAGAGGTCATTCCAATCCACGGCATGACGGACTGCACATAGGCAAATATACAATGATCGTAGATCCATACGACCACTCCGACACCGGTTGTAGATAATTCGATATCCTCACACGGCATGCCAGTTGAGCATAATTCGCATCCGATGATTCACGACTGAAATGATGAAAAAAACCTGTGCCTGGTAAGAAAGCCCTCAAGCCACGCAACATTCGCAACCGCACATTTCGAAAAAAGCGCCGCAGCTCCCAACGCCTGTCTGCACCAATACGCGTCAAGGCGTCCAACCCCATAGCAATGAACAGCCCCCAGCGTAGACGTGCTCATCTCAAAGAGTATGCATATACTACTCGCATTTTGGACGTGACCGCATGCCCCGATCCCGAATGAACCCAAAATCATGATCTCGCAATCATTCTGCGGTGCTTATGGTTAATGCCGGTGGTCAATTGCCGGCGAGCCCCCTACCGGTGGCACCGGCGACCAAAAACGCGCCAGCGGCACACCACGTGACCCTCTTCACCCGAATACAAAGCACCGTGAACTGGCGTTTTTATTTGGCTTGGTCGCGAGTGAGCTCTGTTAACTTCTTCCTGGATCATTTTATGGTACAATCAGCACGCTCTATGCGCCAACAACATAAATTTCGACTCTTTGAGATGTGTGTAACACAAGCGGCTTCACAAAACTATTGAAGGTGTTTACATTACCACGGTCTGTACAGGTGACAGGATATTAAATTATAAAAGTAATGAGAGGGCAGATGTATAAATCAGTGTGGTACTGCCCGCACGCGCGTCAAATTTCAATACATTTCGAATCCATTTTCGATTGACTGTTGCCATGGAGGCTTCGCGGCGTCGCTTTCTATATTCTGTTTACTGTTACTACCTTTTTTCCGATCCTCAGTCTTCTCGTAGCGCCTATATACCTCCCTTGAAATTGTAATGCGTATTCAAGTTTCGCACTGCATCACTATGCATACCTTTTTTTTTTCTCAGTGGTGTAAAAACGTGTTTTTACAGAGTTGTAAAGTATATGTGTGTTGCAGCCCGTGTCTCAGAGCAAACAGACCTTGCTCAGGCTGGATAAATTCTTCCAAAAATGTTGACATTCTTTGAAACATAAATTATATTTATCTTCGTTGTTTTCGCGATCTTGTCTCGGAGCGCAAAAGGGTGTCTATCTTAATGGCTTCGTTTGCCAATCTAACCCGCTATTTGTCACTTTCAGCGAGAATTATTTCGTTTGGTTCCCTTTCCCGATTCGAATGTGACGATACCGGATAGAGTCTGGCTGGCAAGCTGCCCGACCTCTCGGAACTCGGGCAAGAATTGTGCTCTGTAAATTGCCGGCACATGCCTGAGAAGCGCCACCAGAACAGCTTGCATTCGCCAGCCTTTGACCATGCGAACGCCCTTGCCGAAGATATGGCAAAATATTTTGCCGGGAAATGATCACCCGAATTAACCATTACAGGCAAAAATACAAGGCGAGCACAATGGTCCACCCACTCCACAACGACGACATCTTAACGACATTAACAGCGCCAGAAGAGAAATGTAGTACCGAACCTGAGCTAGCACTTTTAAAACCACGTCACAATGTGACCACGTAGCTACGTCAACAGATTTGGGGGGCACGCAGGCATAAGGAAAATTGTTTCATCTTCTATGCACGATATGGTGCCACTTCACTTCATCGTCAACCTACATCCTCAACTGTTCCTTCTTCTCTCTGTACCTCACTGCCCTTTGTTTTGAGCACGTTGTTCAAGTATGGTGTTCAAATGAGAACGGCTTCAAATGAGAAAGGGTCGAAACACGAAGGGAGTTTTGCGCATTGGTTCAAACGAGAAGGGCTAAAATCAGAATGGGTTCAAATGAGGCGGGTACAAATGAGAAAGGGTTTAAATGCGAAAGGTTTAAACCCGAAGGGCGTTTCGCGAATGGTTTCAAACGAGAAGGGTTCAAATCAGAATGGGTTGTTTCGAGATACACCCGATCCAAAATGGTCAGTAAACTTATATATAGCAATGACAACGAAACACAAACTTCGTATTTAATGGCATTTCAGGGCTAGACGCAATAAAGGCACACAATTCCAACATCTCCTGACGTGTGTTTATCTCATTCAGACATCATGGGGTGGTCTCAATGAAATATATACACGAGAGAGAGAGAAATAATAAACCTCATATTTTCCACCCAGGGCTACTTTCCACCCATACTACAATGGGGTCCTATGTATGAATAAATGTCGTGGAGTTTACCTTGAAAAATTATACTTCTTCAATAATTGTTTGAGCGATTGCTATTTTATTAGAACGATATTCCGATTGACTGACACCTGGCGGAAGAATATTACCACTGGCCGTCTCCAGTGAATTGGCTCGAAGTCTGTCCCTGTTGCCGCCAACCTTTCCACGTCAGTTTGGACACCCGAATCTAGCCACTCAGCCACTTTCTACATGGAACAGAGTAAACTGCAGTAGTTGTTTCGGTCGCCAGTGTTTGGTTGCATGAGACATTCTCGGCTCTTGGCTCACTACATGTATACGCTAAACATATTAAATATAGAATGTTTTTTTTTAGAAATGGATTTGAGTGTACAAGACTCAACGTTTCCTTCAAAACAGCAATGAGCAAGTTTCATTTAACCTGCGTAGCGAGTGAGCAGGTTAAGTGTCACCGAACCTCAGTAGTGGTCCGGGTTAAGCGCCTCAAGGGCTGCGCGAATACCTCTGACCCTCAATGACCACTGGAACGCGATACTTCTCGCTGATTCACGGTCACATTATAGTGATCGGTGTTGAGAGCTCGATGATTATAGTCTCTTGCTGCATAAAAATAACTGGGGCATTTATCTCCAAATCGCTATAATGCTTGAAATTAGATATTTATGAAGCGGTGGTTTAAATTTGTTTAGTAGACATTTAACAGTCGGTTCGGCCAGTGAAGTACCTACATTAATATGAATTCCCGCTCTATTTGAACCAGAAAACGGACTTGGTACAAATGTCACGTGACGTAAATGTTTCGCTAAATTTAATGCTAAACTAAATTGGCTTATAGCCAACGTAACGTTAGGCCCCGTGTCATAGTTTTCCCGTAAAATTTAACGGAGAAACTGAATTGGTGTATAGATCTCGTGACGTCAAATCAGGTCATATCAACCCCAAGAATCCGGACACGGCGCTGCTTACAACTTACGCCATCTCTCGGCAGTCATGTCAGCGCCCCAGCTTAACTCAATGGGCAAAAACATTTATATATTTGTAATTCAGTAAAAAACCAGCCGATATTTTTGCACTCGAAGGATTATAATATTCACCTAATAGCCCGCCTATTTTAAGAAATTCAATGCCACCCCAGGTAGCACCGAGATCTGGGCCAAAACTTGGCTTTTGTCTGGAAGTTTAGGGCATTGAAAAGCCCGAAGAAGCCAAAGTATAGCCGAAGCCTGAAGTCCCTTGGCAACAGTCCGGGTATTTTGGCCCTAATTCGCCAAACGAGTGCCAAACTTAGGCTTGACTACCTGGTAGTCCGGCTGTCATCTGGCGCCTTCGGACCCAAATCGCCACAGATGTGCAAGAGTTAGGCTTACTACCTTGTAGTTCGGTTGACATCTGGCATCTTGGGGCCCAAGTCGCCAAACGAGTGCCAAAGTTAGGCTTCGCTTCCCAATAG